GTGCCCCTCAACTTATTCTTAACATAAGCATCCCTTAACTTTTCTTTATTCATTGAAGCTACCTATTATGACATTCCTGTAAATTCACCAGTCCTCTAAAATTCATCACTATTAAATACATTTTTGACCTTACAGATTGGTTAGTGTTATATTCCACCTTTGACTATAACATGCAAATTACACTTCCTATTCTTATAAAAATTCGCACATCACACAATTTTGCATATGAGACTTAGGAGATTCATACTGGTCAAATACTGGTCAAATACTCCTACCATAAAGGATACCTGGGTTTGCAATGAACCTATGCTTCTAAGGTACCTATTACACTTGCTATGTAACCTACTGATAGTTCTACACAGGTAACTCAGGCACAATTATGGAGTATTAGTCACACTTCACACGAGGGTATTTAGGTTTTTTAAGCTTTGTATTTTGAAATAATTTCACACTTCACAGAAAAGTTACAAAAACACCACAAAGAATTCTTCACTCTGTTCAGAAATTAACATTGGAATGTTTAATTTTAAACAAGTTCCATTTGAGTTTTTTATTAAACTGTAACTCAAGCTGCTTAAATAAGCAAATGGGCAATTTAATACTTTAGGAGTTATAATAGTCCTCTTAGTATACAGGACTGAAATCTCATGTGACCAGTAACAAAGTCCCCAAATATTTGAAATTTAAAGATTTTTTTCTTTAACTCCTTAGCCAGCAAAACCTGCCTGAGCCAGTTCACAATCATTTACCCATTGTAATGTAAATATTTGCATGTTTCACTGTAGACACAGTATTGTTTATGTAATACTGCCCCAGACCTCCTAGAAGTGAATATAGTAAATTTACCATATCCCCAAGGGTTTCAGGTAAGAGAAGCAGTGCTAGGTACTACTTTAGTTATCACTTCATTTAATCCATTCAATGCAGTAAATTCAATCTTGCCCAAGGTCACCTACTGTGTACTAAATGGTAGTGGCAATGTTCAAATTTAGGTTTCTCGGAGTCAAAGCATTAATCACTTCTGAAAGTTGAAAAAGAGTATTGAAAATGAGTCTCTTAAAAACAGACTACTGGGGCATGGAAAGTGAAAATAAATCCTTTGAAAAGATGTAGTATCCCCTCCTTCCAGCAAGTCAAATTTTACACTTGAACTCAGATATCACTCTGAAACGTGGAGTCAAATGTTTCATATCTCAGTAGCAATTAAATAAAAGGAAATTTTGGGGCGCCTGGGTGGCTCAGTCGGTTAAGCGTCTGACTTCGGCTCAGGTCATATCTCGCGGTCCGTGAGTTCAAGCCCCGCGTTGGGCTCTGTGCTGACAGCTCAGAGCCTGGAGCCTGTTTCAGATTCTGTGTCTCCCTCTCTCTCTCTGACCCTCCACCATTCATGCTCTGTCTCTCTCTGTCTCAAAAATAAATAAACGTTAAAAAAAAAAATTTTTTTTTAAATAAAAGGAAATTTTAAAAAATGTCATTTGAAACAAATTAGCAACATTTTTTTAAGAGATAACTCAGTGATAGCAAGATGTTTAAATAGGTATTCTCATATATCACAAATGGAACTGAAAACTGGTTTAGTCCCAGTTTAGTATTACTAGTCACATTTTCAGATGAGAAACTAAGACAAAAAAGTTAGGTGGTTTAGCTTAATATCACATAGCTAGGAGAAGGCTAATCATAAATAGGAACCTAGGTAGCTCAGGTCCAATTTGTGCTCTTAACCACTCCATTTTCCTATCTCTATACTATACAGAATATTTTTACAACTATTTAAAATGAATCAAGATGACTGTAAGACCAAATTAAAGGATAAACAGACTGGTGAAAATATTCCCTATGAGAGTAAGATGAGCTATAAAAAGGCACATCTTAAAAGAGAAAATTCAAGAGCTCAGCCTTTCCAATAATCAGATATGCAAGAAAAATTTACATTCAGTTAAAGTGCAAGTATAACTACAATAGGCATTCTCATATACTTTCTGATGACATACAAAGCAGTACTTTTTTGGGGAGGGTAATTTGAAGTCTCTCTCAAAAATTTTATTTTTTAATGCTTATTTTTGAGAGAAGAGCGTACACGCAAGTAGGAAAGAGGTAGAAAGAGAGGGAAACAGGATCCGATGTGGGCTCTGTGCTGACAGCAGAGAGCCCAAGGTGGGGCTTGAACTCACAATCCATGCAATCATAACTGGAGCCAATGTCAGACCCTTACCGACTAGCCCCAGGCACCCCTCTCAAAATTTTAAATGCATGCAGTCTTTGATCCGGCAATTCTACTTCTAGGGATTGATTGCAAAGAAAAAGTCATGTAAGCACACAAAGCAATTTCTTCAAGGAAGAATTGTTTAATGTAATGTTTATTATGGCATTTCTAATAATTAAAAACCAGAAATAAGCTAAATGTTCATGAATATGGTAATAATTAAATAAATATGGTAGTCATAACTAGAATACAGTACTTAGAAATATGGCAGATTTGCATTAACAAATGCAGCTACAGAAAAAAGTATCCTTTTATTCATAAAAATATTAATAATTTTGAACTTGAAAAGAGCCATGTAACTTTGCATACTCTTTGTATTTAATGTTGTATTATATTAATGGAAAAAGAAGAAAACATGATTAGAAGAAACGTGAAATGTTATCAGTGGTCATATCCACATAGTAGAATTTATAGGTGCTATTTTTCCATTACACTTTTTTTTATGATGAAGATGTATTAGTTTTACAATTGCTACATATACTCATTTCTTCCTACACTCCAGTTAGTGGCTAGGTAAATTAATACACTAAAGGTCACAACTTTACACAATAGCTACCATGTGTGAAAGCAGCAAAGAAATTGAACCTAAAGGGGAACCCTCTTGTACTGTTAGTGGGAAGGCAAACTGGTGCAGTCACTCTAGAAAACAGCGTGGGGGGGATTCCTCAAAAAATTAAAAACAGAATTACCCTACCACCTAGCAATAGCACTAGTAGGAATTTATCCAAAGGATACGGGAGTGCTGATTCGTAGAGGCACATGTACCCCAATGTTTACAGCAATGCTATCAACAATAGCCAAACTATGGAAAGAGCCCAAATGTCTATCAACTGATGAATGGATAAAGGTGTGGTGTGATTCCACACTCAATGAAATACTACTCTGCGATGAAAAAGAATGAAATCTTGCCATTTACAACAACATAGATGGGACTGGAGGGTATTATGCTAAGTGAAATAAATCAGTCAGAAAAAGACAGGTATCATATGTTACCACTCATATGTGGAATTTGAGAAACTTAACAGAAGACCATAGAGGAAGGGAAGGAAAAAATAAGAGAGAGGGAGGCAAACCATAAGAGACTCTTAAATACAGAGAACAAACTGACGGTTGATAGGGTGTGAGGGGTTGGGGAAGCAGGGAAAATGGGTGATGGGCACTGAGGAGGGCATTTGTTGGGATAAGCACTGGGTGTTGTAGTAAGTGACGAACCACGAGAATCTACTCCTGAAGCCAAGACTATTCTGTATACACTGTATGTTAGCTAACTTGACAGTAAGTTATTTAAAAAAAAATTTTAATAATATTAAAAAAATAATAAAGCCTGTTATGAAGTATGTTGCTAATGTCCTCATGGGAAAACACTAAAAAATTTAAGGAAAACCAACCCCAGACAATTGCAAATTCACCAGCAAAAGGCATTAATGCAGAAAGAGTCCAATGTGCCACTTCACAGATCTGAGGTGTAACAAAATAACTGAGTATAAATTTGGGTTCTAAATCCAAGAGACATATTGAATGTTTATTTTTGGAAGGGAAAAAGAAAAAAAAAAACCTCTAACATACATTCTTGTATCTATAGAGACCCCCAAATTTTACATTTGAGGGTACATGCTTTTAGTGCTGAGAACTAAGCTCTCATAACAATCAGTCTGAATGGTTTCCTTCATAACACAGGAATATATTTTATATTTGAGAAGACATAAACCAGTTACCTTAAATTTCAAACAAATTATGTCAATTTCTAAATATGTCAGCTTGAAAATGCACAGTGGAATCATCTCATATTTGATAAATGCAAAACATTACTTTATTTCTGGAAAGCTACCCAGGAAAAAGCAAAATCACTTTTTATAAATATTCCTCTTGAAACATAAAAAAATAAATGGGTAACACCATCTCCTAATATAATATTTTTTTGAAAAGGTGGAAATTCTATTAGAGTAATGATAATTCTGATGGTTTTGCCTTTTCAATTTATGAAGTGGTAAAACTGGAAGGGAACCTTAGGGTTTACCTAGTACAACCCCCACATCATGCAGATGTGGCCCAGAGAATTTAACTGCAAGTTACTAAGTTGCAGTTACTAAGTTACTAAGAGGCTAAGGAAGGAGGAACTCACTCAGGAATTTTTTTACTCGAAATCCAGAAGGTGGACATTTGAAAAGTATTATCTAATAATTTAGTGGGCTACTTGTAATATTTTGGGATCCTGTTCCCCTCTGTACTAATGGGACCTTTCAGACCTAACACTCTCAGAAAGCAGCAGGTTAATCTCTATTGCATCATCTATACTTCAGATTTACCACAGAGTAAGTTTTCCAAGCCTCTCTCTTCCTCGGCATTGGCTTTCAAGTGAAATTGTATTTCCCTAAGTAGAAAGGATTATAAATGCCAAACTGCTTGGGTCAAAATTGTGCAGGGTCCTGCTTTGATTCATCATTTTGCCCATGAAACCTCTGAAATACTTCCATGGTATCTTAGGTCTCAGATACACACATACGCACACATACGCACAAACTGTAAGCCCAAATTTTTATTATTCACATGACATAAAATTAGTTAAAATTTCTAAATGCTTATTTTCAATTTGTGCGATCATCTTGCCACAGACCAGTAACAAAAAGCTCACAGACTACACTTTGGGCAGCAATGCTCTATATCAAACCAAACCTTCAAAGATGTTCCTGATCAAATTAGAATACCCAATATACTAAGAATGAAGTTAGAAACTTACTTCTTATCAAAAAATGTTGAATTTTCTTTCCTCTTTGTGAATCCGTTGGGTAGAAGCTTTAAATTAATACCTTGTTTTCTAGCACGATTTTTCATAAAATACATCTAACAACCAAAAATAAATAAATAGAAAAATTAATTTTAAAATGCCTTAAATTTCAACAGTGAATAAAACAGTGTTCAAAATATAATAATTAACATTTATTGAGTACTTATGTTTCACAAACTGTGCTGAACATTAGTATCTCATTTAATCCTCACAATACTTTGAGACTGGTACCTACCTACTACTACCCTCAATTTAGGAAGGAAAGTTAATGAGATGCCAACATTATACACCTATTTCTGAGAGTGAGAGCCTGTAATAAAACCCAGATACAGCTAATTCTGGAGGCTGTCTTGTTAATCATATGCTCTGTAAGCCAAAAGAAGGATTTAATGAGATGTTTAAAAACATAGGTCATTTGGTAATTCATAGGGGCTACTTGTACAGTTCCTTTTCTTTTACTGAACTTTTTCTTGATGTTTATTTATTTTTAGAAAAAAGAGCGGAGGGGCAGAGAGAGAGAAAGAATCCCGAGCAGGCTCCAAGCTCAACACAGAGCCTGTTGCAGGGCTTGATCTCACGATTGCAAGATCACGACCTGAGCCGATATCAAGAGTCAGATGCTTAACCAACTGAGTTACCCATGTACCCCTTTCTGAGGTTTTATACCATACTTGGCTGTATACAACTATACAGGTAGTTCACTCAAGGGAGGAACCAAGGCATTGCCTACTTACAAGGCTTAACTTAATGTAGCTACTACTGTAGGCTATACAAAATGGGACATGTGAATATTCTGGCTCTGACATGTTTTACTCCACTACCCGTCTGGGTTGGCTGAGCAGAACTAGGCAATACCAGAAAGTAGTGAAGGAAGTAATATCATCAAGTTTTCTTCCTTGAACACTCAAATGGCAAAGTAGAAGTGCAAGTTTTTGGTTTTGCAATGCTAAGAGTTAGAGAATTAAATCATAAGCCAAGGGAAAGGAAGAGTCAGCTATCACTTGTTAAAAAGAGAAATAACTTAAGAAATTACATGCAATTTTATAACTTATAGGGCTTTGGTTTCAGTAATGGTAATGATTATAAGGACCAACTCTCCCACTGAAAACATCTAAGAATATCAGAGAATGGGGGAAAGACACATATGTAATAAAATACATTTCAAAATCACCTTAAAAAACACTGGAGAGCTGACAAGAAAACAAGAAAATACACGCCAATATTTAACGAGAAGTGAAAACCAGGAGAGGTAAGCAAAGCAGTAATAAGAAATGGGCTGAAAATTCTCCAGATTTTTTTTTTTTTTGGCAAATTTTGCAAATTCTGGCAAATACAGGCTTTTCCTTTCAACAGCTTTCTCAGTGAGAGGATAGGAGTTATGACTCTAATCTTTTAGGAACCCCTCATGAAATGAGGCTGAGTCACAGAATATGCCTAATTAATATTCAGGTAAGGGTGAACCAGAAATAAACCCTACCCCCAGAGCATGCTAGGAAATTTATATCAGAATGACTGGAACAGTGAGGGGTGCAGGGGGTGAGGAAAAACAATTCATCAGAAGCTGTGGTCATGGGCCAGTTCTTGCTTAGGTCTGAAATGATTTGCTTTGCTTGTGTGGTCAAGGGAATCTTAAACTTTCAACTTGATTTAGGATAGGCCCAGATTTGCAATATTCCCAGGTACCTGGCAGAATAAAAGGCCTGTGTCCTACTCTTGAAAAAAGTTCTCACAAATCATTTAAGAAAAAAAAGTAGCACTCAATAAAAAATAAGCAAGCATAAGGAACACAAGAAAACAAAGGTTAGCGAGCAGGGACCAAAAGAGAAAAAAAGAGGTAGCTGAGAATTCTCCATGTATTCAGACACTAAAAGAATCATACACAGATTGTAGAACAGTTATGCAAAATTAAAAAAAAAAAAAAAGAACAGCTTGAAAATACTTGCAGTGAAGAGAAACTATAAAAACTGACTCAGCAAATTTTTATAAGAACTAACTAAAACTAGAACATATCCAGAATACACTACAGAGAAAAAAAGATAAAAAATCAAGTAAGTTAAAGGATAGGTTGGAAGAAGATTTAACTTACATTTACGATAGTTTTAGAAGACAGAAGGAATAAGAAATGGGCTGAAAATTTCCCAGAACTGATCAAAGATACAACACAGATTCAAGAAATCTAACAATTCTCAAATAAGATGAAGAAAAAGAAAACATGCATGTTCATATTATAGTGCAAATAAAGAACAGAAAACATAAAAAAATGCAGCCAGAGTAAAAAAGATTTCAAAGGCAATTAAAAACAACAGATGACTTTGCAACAATAACAATGGAAGCCCTAAGACAGTGGAACAATAATTCTAAACCCAGAATTCTATAGAGAAAAATCATTTTAGAGTGAAGAATGGGAAATAAATAAAAACTCAAAAAATCTACAAAGTAACCCAAGTGGTGGTAACCAGCAAACCCTCTCTAAAGAATATTCTAAAGGATGTACCTGAGGCAGAAGAAAAGTGATCTCTAAGGGTCTAAGTTGATGACAGAAGGAATAAAGGGTCTAAGATGATGACAGAAGGAATAAAGAGCAAAGAAAGTGGGAAATATAAAGATAAACCCAAATTAACACTGGCTGAATAAAACAGTAACTACTGTATGGAGATTTTTTTTAAAAGTCAATTTAAAGAATCGAAAACAGGAAGAAAAGTCAGTATAAGGTTAAATGGAATTTAAGTTAACTGCTGATATACTTATATCTGCCTGCTGCTTATCTTTATAAATACATTTTGTTGGAATGTAGCCCCCACCCATTTGTTTAAATATTGTTTATGACTGCTTTCTTGCTACACAATGGCAGAGCTGAGTAGTTGTGACAGAAACCATATTGGCCTGGAAGAAATATTTACTATTTGACCCTTTAGAGAAAAAGTTTGCCAACTCCTGTTTTAAGGTCTTTTGCATTGTCTAGGCATTTGGTTCAGGTACTGCTTAACTTCAGATATTGGCAAATTAAGCATGCATATTGTAATGTATAGCTTAACCAACAAAAGGATAGAAAAAGGGTATATAACTTCTAAACTGATAAAAGAGAAAAATTCAAATGATAAAAAAATCAGCCCAAAAGACAAGAAAAAGAAAAAAAAAACTGGGACAAATAGCAAAACTAAGGTGACACACTTAAAGTCAAATATACAGGTAATTTTATTAAAATGTAAATGAGGTTAATGATTCAGTTAAAAGTTACAGATTGTCAGATGGGAGAAAAACTGGAAACCAACTATATCCAGAACATAAGGACACAGAAAGGCCTTAAGTAAGGAAAAAAATAGCCCACACAAAAACCAACCAAAGAACTGATACAGCTTTGTAAATGTTAGTCAAAGTACAAAAAAAGCTAGAGACAGAGAGGGTTACCTCATAATGCCAAAGGTTAAATACACCAAGAAGTATTTCGTGAGGTATGCATTTAATAATTTAGCCTTAAAACACACAAAGCAAAACAAACTGAACCACAAGGGAAACTCACAGATCTGTTTGATTTTATCTATTGAGAAATGTTAACATACTTCTCTTTAAAAATTATAGACGAAACAGACCGAAAAAAAAAGTAACATTATAAACAATTTGAACATAATTAATAAATCTGACCTATAAAGTATATATAGAGTACTATATTCAGCAATTGCAGAATTTTTTTTTAATGTTTATTTATTTTGAGAGAGAGAGCGAGCGTGCACATGCACATGCATACGTGCATGCAAACAGGGGAAGGAAGGAGAGGGAGAGACAATCCCAAGCAGGCTCGACACTCAGCACGGAGTCCAACACAGGGCTTGACTCCACGACCTGGGTATCATGACGTGAGCCTAAGTCAGGAGCTGGATACTCAACTGACTCAGCCATCCAGGTGCCCCGGAATATATTTTTTTCAAGCAGAGAACATTAAAACTTTGACCATATGCTGGGCCATAAACACAAGTCCTGATGGATTTGATTTGATTTGATTTGATTTCCTAAATGTTATATTTATTTTTGAGAGAGAGGGAGAGAGAGAGAGAGACAGAGGGCAAGCAGGGAACAGGGAGAGAGAGGGGGAGACGTAAAATCTGAAGCAGGCTCCAGGATCTGAGCTGTTAGAACAGAGCCCGATGTGGGGCTCAAACTCACGAACCATGAGATCATGACCTGAGCTGAAGTTGGACGCTCAACCCTATTGAGCCACCCAGGTGCCCCATGTCCTGATGCATTTTAAAGGAATGAACTTAAAAGAGTATGTTCTCTGATCATAATGCAATTAAGCTAACATAAAAAAGATATGACAAACGTTAAGAGGACACATTAACAAAATAGAAAAAAACATGTAATAGCAACTGATCTAGGAAAAAAGACATAAATAACCATATTACAAAAGAAATTACTATAACTCCTATAGACATGTAAAGGAGAAGGTTTATGAAGAACCTTATGCCAATAAATTTTAAAATTTAGGTCAAATGAACAAATTCTTAGAAAAATGTAATCTATTAATACTAACTCAAGAAGACACAGAAAACCTACACACGGTCCCACAAATAGTAAAGAATATACCTCAGTGGCCCAAACTCTAAGCCCATACTGGTTCCTTAATAAATTTTACCCAACTCCCAAGGATGAAGTAATTACAATATTAGTGAATGCATCCAAGAATAATATGGGAACATTCCCAAATAATTTTCTGAAACTAGAATCATACTGATACAGAAACTTGAGAATACCAAAATGGAAAATGAGAGGTCAATCTCACTAATGCACAGAAATACAAAATGAATGTAAGGATAAGGTATATATACATGTATAATACAAATGAATTCTGCAAAGTATAAAAAGCTTGATATGATAATGACACACCATGCAAGTTTAGCTTAAAATAGAAAACCAATTAAAATATTCGTATTACTAGAAAATTATAGATTAAAAGAACACAAATGAAATAATCAAATACAGAAAAAGTATTTGATAAAATATAACTACCATTCATGATAAAATCTGATAACAAACTAGGACTAGAATTTCCATAATCTAGTCATCAAATTATTTCTAGAAAAAATTTAAGAGCAAACGTCATGGTGCAATTGTGGAAGTTTCCCCTCTATGATCAGGAGTTGCAAAACAGTATGTACAGAAGAGGTAACATAGCGGGCCTGAGACGGTTATCTTTAGGCTAGTGTGTGGGAATTTGAATGACTGGTAAATGGTTCCCTAAACTAACATAAAACTTTTCCTAAAATAGTAAGTATGGTTCACTGTGCCTGAATTGTCTGTAAAACAATATGGTTTGATTTCCTTTTCTTCTGGGAGTCTGGAATTTGGCACCTGCTAGGCAGAGGGTGCTTATGTGACCAGCCCCCATAAAAACCTTGGGCAGTGAATCTCTGATGAGCTTGCCTAGTAGATACTACTTCACACGTGTTATCACAACTCATTGACAAAGGGATTAACTGCATACTGTGTGGACTTGGGGCTTAAAACATAAATATCTACTACCAACATTAGTACTTGACACTGAATGGGAAGTCCTAACATAAGGCAGTAAGACAAGAGAAAGAGAAGAATAAGGACAGAAAGATAAAAAGAAATTGTGATGAAATGTTTAATAAATGTATTAACTTCACAAATGTACATAACTGAAAAATCTCAAGGTGTCTATTGATAAGGCACTGGGATAAATTTTAGTACTATAAAACATAGATTATAATTACACAAAATAAATAACAACAAAAATCTCATTCTTAAATACCAGCAAAGAGATAAAAAAACAAAGAAAATGCTATTTAAAAAAGCATGAAAAAATAAAGTGCCTAGGAATAAACCTAACAAAAAATGTGTAACATCTCCACTGAGAAAATCAGAGATATTAAAGCTATTAAGTAAATGCAGATACAACACAGTGAAGAATTTCAAGATTTAATACTGAAAAAAAGGCCTATTACCCAAGTTACTCTATAAAATAAATGCAACCCCTATCAAAATTCCCAGGAGAATTTAGGGGACTGTAGAGTCAACAGGCTGATTCTTCACATTCTTATAGAATTACTAACAGCCATACCCATACTAAAGTACAGCCATACTCTAAAAAATGAACAAAGTCATAGGAAATACTCTATGAGATAATTAGTTGCAGTAAAAAACTACAATTAAGAGGGGTGCCTGGGGGCCCAGTCGGTTAAGCCTCCGACTCCTGATTTCAGATCAGGTCATGATCTCACGGTTTGTGAGATCGAGCCCCATGTTGGGCTCTGTGCTAACAGCGAGGAGCCTGCTTGGGGTTCTCTCTCCTGCTTTCTCTCTGCCCTTCCCCTGCTTGCTCTTTCCATCTTTCTCTCTCCCTCTCAAAATAAATAAACATTAAAAAAAAAAAAAACTACAAATAAAGGAGTGTAGTATTGGTGTATATAGATAAGTAGACCAACAGAATAGAACAGATAGGTCAGAAACTGCTGCAAGCATGTATGGATGTGTGATATATGACAAAGGAGGTCCTACAGAGCAGTAGGGAAAGGATGAATTTTTCAATAAATGGTGCTAAGAAAGTGGATTATCCATATGGAAAATTAAATGGGATCTCCACATGATACACAAAAATTAATTTCAGGTAGTTTACAGTCATAAATGCAAGATGCAATGCTTTACATAAAGCTTTTAGAAAATAATTATGGAAGAAGAGATTCATAAATTCAAAGTATAAAAGAGTTTCTTTATAAACACATAAAACTACTAACAATAAAGGAAATGTACAATAAATTTGACTATATTAAAAAATTAAGACCATCTATTCATCAAAGACACTATAGAGAGTGAAAAATAAGCCTGGGAATGGAAGAAAGTATTTATAACATATACAACCACCAACAGGCATCCAAGAAATACAAGGAATCTCTACAAACCAGTAAGAAAAAGAAAGGTGACCAATAAAAAGATGAGCAAGAGACTTGAACAGGAATTCCACATGAGGAAATCCGAATGGCCAATAAAATATTTGAAAGATGCTCAATCTCATAAGGAATCAGAGAACTGCAAGTGAAAAACCCCAGTAAAATTACACAGCCATCAAATTTACAAAAATTTTAAAACCCTGACCATATCAAGTATTGCAGAGGATGTGACACCATTGGGAGTCTAAACTGGTATAACCACTTTGGAAAATGTTTTGGTTACATCCAGTAAAACAGAAGATGTGCACACCCCACAATAAAACAATTTCACTCCCAGGCGTAAACCCTAGAAAAAACAGGTGTGCACATAACCCAAAATTCATTAACAAAAGTGTTCATAGTTTTAAGGTTTTTTTTTTTTTTGTTATTACAGAAAACCCAGAGCCCATGAACAATAGAATGGATAAATAAATTGTAATATGGTCATAAACTAGAAAACTATTCAGAAGAAAAAAATGGATCAGGGAATGGCACAAGGGAGTGGCAGGGCATTTTTGAAGTTGATAATGTTCTAATTCTAGACCTGGGTGGTAGTTAATGGATGTCCACTTTATGATTATTCATTGAACAGTGTATTCCTATTTTATCCTTTTTTTTATACGTATGCAAGATTTCACGATAAAAACAAAAAATTTAAAGAGTAATTTATTTTTTAAGAAGAATTTTATGTTCTTTTTTTTAAAGTTCACTTATTTTGAGAGAATGTATGCACACGCGCACACAAGCAGGGATGGACCAGAAAGAGGGAGAGAATCCCAAGCAGGCTCAACACTGCCTGTTAGGAGCCCGACATGGGGCTCAAACTCACCAACCATGAGATCATGACCTGAGCAGAAACCAAGAGTCAGACACTTAACTGACCAAGCCACCCAGGTGCTCCTAAGCAGAATTTTAATTACCCTTAATTACTCTTGAGAAAAAATTCTGATGAATGATAACTTTCCTTTCAGATATGTGAAATGTCAAGTCTGTATCAGGACGGTAATACCAATAAAATCAGGTGTTTTAAAAGCAATAAAATTCTGCAACTCCAGTGCCAAAATGGCCTTTGAAAAAGGAACATAATTCCATCACATGATTCAATAACACTATTAAAGAATTTCTAGAATGGCAGTTGCAATGTATTTCAAACATGTAAACTTTAATTCTGCATACTGCTGAAGGAATGAAAAAGGGATAAAAGGGTATGAAAATTAATTGTATTAAAACAAGTCCTGTTAGTTTGTCCTTCAAAATTAGAATCTATTCACTTCCCCATAATTTAACAGTATTATGCAAGCCACCATCATTTCTCATCTCAACCACAGTGATAACTTTGTAATTGGACTCCCTGCTTTCAATCTTCCACTTCTGCCCACTAATGCTCATTTTTCAGACAGCAGCATGAATGCTCTTTGAAAAAGCAAACGTGCCCAAAACACTGCCATGGCTTCTATTTTCACTTAGACTGTATTAGGAGCCCTTACCAGTTTCTCTAACCTCATATTCAATATTCTCCCCCTCACTCAACTATGTTTCAGTCACCCTGTCCCCATTTTAATCATCAAATGTACCAACCTCCCCCCCTAAGCCAGTCTTTACTTATGCTTTTATCACTACCTGGATAGTCTTCCTCCAAAGGTTCACGTGGCTGCCTCTTTCTCATTATTCAGATCACTGCTTAAATGTCACCTCTTGAGAAGCTTCTCCTGACTCCTATATTGAAAATACTTTCACAATCTCCTCCCAACAAATACCATTTTCATTTTCTTTAATTTCCTGTGCTTTATGTTCCACAGGTACTTAACTCTATCTGCAATTATAGCTGTGCCTCTCCTCATCTGTCTCTCCCCACACTACAAGCTCCATGAGGGGAAGAACTTTGTTCTGGTCACAGATGTATCACTAGTAACTGCAATAGCTCTGGATCACAGTAGTCACTTAATACATTTATTAGGTTTAAAAATGAATCTAACTGAGTAAAAGGAATTGTAACTGTAAGGGATGAAAAGAAATACTTACATGTTTATTGCTTATTGGTCTTTTTAAGAAAGCATCTCTAGAAATGTAGTCTGCTGTTCTTGCCACATCTTCCAAAAATCGATAATCTAAAAATTTCAAAATAGAAAAATAAACAAATGACATACGCAATGGCCAGGAATTACCAATCTGCCATGCATAAGATGACTTACCACTAAGCAGATTCATTTCAGTAAACTGTTGTATGGAAACATATGCAGTTTTATCTCGAACTCCATTACATGTCAGTTCTGCTTTGTGTTTCTTTACACAGGGCAAACTGAAAAGACAAAGAGGAGGTACTTTTATACTGTGAGGTAAGAAGGGTATAGAGAGAGGTAGTAAGGTAGGAAATTACATATATACCTGCAGGAATATCGCATACAACGTGGACATTTGTACTTTGCTTCTTCTGTACCACAAGTTTCACACCTACAAAAGCCCACGAGAAACTTAATATTAATTCTACTTATTCATAAACTTTAAATGGTGAGTTACTCATCACAACCAATTTACAGACATGTAGTCAGTGAATAAAGTATATGCCAGTAACCGATAAAATACTTGATAGCTGTCTAACATCCTTAGAAAATTCTCCTCTAAGAAACGGTCTCCAAATAACATTTACAATGTTGTCAGTACTACGTAATTCAAGAAGACGTATTAAATTTAAAAAAAAAAATCATCTCACTTTTGACTTCTTTTTTCTACTGCAATCAGAGAATGGTATCATTCACTAACGTTTTAACTTGTAATTCCTGGCAGTCTGCTAACAATTGTATGTGCACGCATTAATGGGAAGTCCAATCCATGAATTTAGATACTTAAAGGCACACACACCAGAAAAAGAATGTAAGACCCAGTCAAATTTACAAAATGTCAGCTGCATCTTTTCTTCTCAACTCCACAGCCAACTTAGAATGAGGATTAAAATAACCTAGAAATACTATTAACCATCATCTATCTTTAATTGCTCTTCCAGGATCTTGGGATACTGAAAACCAAACTACAGTTATTTTTATTTGGCCCACTGTGTTCTAACAGTTAACGGTCCCAATTTTATTTCCTATGCTGTCACATGATCACACACTGTAAGGAAATTATATCAAAAGCAGTAAATATTCATAGAACCCATAAATTAGACACTGAGTGACTTCAAGTGCATTTTTATCCAATTTTAACTTCTCCACTTTTTCACTGTTAGTTTTATTGGACTTTTCCTTATCTCTATCATCTCTTTAAGAATAATAGTGTGTGAAGAGCGTATTAAGTCAAACCAGAATCTGGCCCAAGGGTTTTCTGGTCCCCAGAATTTTCACTTCCTAACTTGACCACACTGTCCACTGGACACTAACAGCCTGAAGTATTTTCACTGTATTTGTTGTCATCTGACAAAACCCTGCCTTCCCAGTTCCCCCTTCCCTCCACCACCAACAGGCAGGCTCCAGGGACCAAAATTTGCATTTATTTTTCATTATTCTACATCTGGCTGCTAGATTTCCTTCAATCTAGACAACGGAGGACTCTACAGCATTTCCCCCGATGAATTTCTCCCTGTCCTACCTGGACATGGCCAGTTTCCGCTTGAAGCCCACTGGGGGATTTATGTGAGGTTCTTCTTTCATCTTTGTATCATCCATCACTTCTTCTTTTGGAAAATACTTCTCTTCTTTTACACACATTTCATCCATCATTTCCTCCTTTTTTATGTTCTGACCAACAAACACCTCCTCTTTTATCTCCATGATAGCTTTCTTCTCTTCCTTCACATCTAGCCAGTCCATTACCTCTTCCTTCACCTTCACTTTCTCTTCCTTTACATCTGTTTCGTTCACCTTCTCTTCTTTTACCACAAAACTACTATCCATCTCTTGCTTCACTTCCAAAGTGCCTGGTTTCTCCTCTTTCACCTTAGGTCCATCCTCTACCTCCTGCTTTACCCATCGGCCATCCAGCATCCCTTCTTCCATTTCTGACCAGTCGGTAAGTTCTTGCTTCACAACCGTTAGGTCCACTCGCATTTCCTCTACCCTTTGCCCAGTTCCTTCTCTATCCTCTGTCTTCCCCATTCCTGTCAATCCGTTCCCCGCTTCTACACGGCCGGCCTCCGTCTCGGCTGTGCCCCCGACTCTCTCCCTACCGGACTTGAGCCGTAGCCGCGACCCCTCCACTCCATTCTGCAGACCTCCTCCCATCGTCTCTTCATTTTCAACAGCAATATTCATCAGCTCACGACCCTTGGCCTTTGCGGCCACTCTGTCCTTCAATGAGGCTTGTCCACGCCAAAAGGAATGAATTGAGAGCCGGAACACCGAAAACCACCCACGTGTGAGCCCGAAAGCCGCAAGCAGCAAACGCCGGCCTGGCGCTTCCGCCCGAATCGTCGTAAAGCAACGCTTCCGTGCTTTTCCACTTCACGACTCTTAGAGCCCTTTACGGCTCTGCGGCAGTCGGGCCAGGAGCCTCCGAGAGAATCCGAGTGAGGCCACGCCTCCCTCTTCTGAGGCGGGGCTTCGCCAAACCCATCCCCTGGGGGGAGGCAGCCTCCGCCCTCTTTCCCCGCCCCCCTCATCTGTGCGAGGCCGTACTTTTCCGTACAAAGCAGAAGTGCCAGGCGGAGAAGACCAATGTAAAACCCTGACAGTTTTGGGATGGTAAGACCCACCCTGATCTGCATTAAGGATGAATCTTGTATGAAAATGGAAGAAATAGCTAATACCACGCCTCTGCAAGCTTCATTCTTCACCTGTACTCTGGAGACGACTGCATTACGAATCTTAGTATCATTGTGAAGATTAAATGGAATCATGCGTGGAAATAAGCTAATAGTTACTGAAATAAACTCAACATATGGTGGCTAGTGTTACAGGGTATCCTGAGAGGTTTCAGATAGGAAAGAAGAAATTTTATTCTTTCAATTCTTTTTTTTTTTTAATTTTTTTTTCAATGTTTATTTATTTTTGGGACAGAGAGAGACAGAGCATCAACGGGGGAGGGGCAGAGAGAGAGGGAGACACAGAATCGGAAACAGGCTCCAGGCTCTGAGCCATCAGCCCAGAGCCCGACGAGGGGCTCGAACTCACGGACCGCGAGATCATGACCTGGCCGAAGTCAGACGCCCAACCGACTGCGCCACCCAGGCGCCCCTTATTCTTTCAATTCTGTAACAGTGCACAACACAGCCAGTTTCCCATTCCCAGAATCCTACAGGATTTTCTCTTTAAGACTATCTAGCTCTAGATCTAGATATCTCCCTATTTAAAGAGTGGGCCAGAAGGTCAATCCCCGAGAACAGATCTAAAAAATACACACACACACACACACACACACACACACACACAACAAAAAACAGGGCCACCTGGCTGGCACAGTCAGTGGAGCATGGGACCATTGATCTCAGGGTGGTAAATTCAAATCCCACATTAGGTGTAGAGATTATTTAAAAATAAAATCCTAAAACAAAACCCACAGTTACTTTTCAAAATTATTATTATGACATACACTATTATGTATATTAGGAATCATCACATCATGCCTGCGAGGTGTTTTTCTCATTGTATAAGGAGACTTCATAGGAGATACAGTTTTCTTGCTGCATAAGGAGACTTCAAAGAAATGACTCCTCACCTGTAGGCTGCTTTGTATTACCTCCTCAATGCAGGGCATTTCGCTGTATTATTCATTGGCAAGTTGGTCAGGAAATGAGAATTTTGATTGGGTGAGCAGAGGAAGGGAGGGAGGGAGATAATTTTGAAACCTAGTTGGGGCACCAGGGATTAAGCAGTGCTGGAAGGATCACTGAAGTAAATTGGGAAAGTTTAGTAAAATATTCTTGATGGGTAGTGAGAAAGAAGTTTCCAGAGGAATCATATGGATAGTCTCTTTCAGAGATACTTAGAGGTGCTAGATGCACATGCAGTCAAAGAAAGCCTGACTGGATTTTCAGACTAGATTACATATTTACACTGGGGAAAGCGGAAATGACAGGAAGAATCCCTGTGGTTTTTGCTAAAGATAAGATTTGTGAGATGGGAGCAACAAAAAGGAGTGTTGATCCTCAAGAAAATAAAACCATCTGGATTTCCATTTAAGAACACAAAGAAAGTTCTGGAACTACAGATTAGACACCAGATGCATAAAGACTTTGTAAGATTTTAAAACTTTTGTTCCTAGGGGCGCCTGGGTGGTGCAGTCGGTTAAGCGTCCGACTTCAGCCAGGTCACGATCTTGCGGTCCGTGAGTTCGAGCCCCGCGTCGGGCTCTGGGCTGATGGCTCAGAGCCTGGAGCCTGTTTCCGATTCTGTGTCTCCCTCTCTCTGCCCCTCCCCCGTTCATGCTCTGTCTCTCTCTGTCCCCAAAATAAATAAACGTTGAAAAAAAATTAAAAATAAAAAACTTTTGTTCCTACATTTGTTCTTCTTATGATCTGTGTGTTTTTTTCACAGTCACTGGAGGAAAAATTGTTACGCAAGTAAGGCTCTTCAATAGCATCCCAGCTAATCAGTTACCTAAGTTAAACAATCAATGCTGTGGGACTGTAGTTTTAATGGAAATATCAGAGATTGTGGTGGTATTGTTGAACACTAGTTTTGAAGGAAAAGTGACACTTGGGTGGTCCTGAAGGCGAGAACTTTGGGTTGTTGGAGTATAGAGCATGGCATTGTATGCAAGGCTGGAGACAGGACAGGGACAGAGAAAGGGAGGCAGAAGTTATATGGAACTGTCACTGAATTCCTATCCAGTTCCTCAAACTCCTTTCCCTCCTTTTTCCACCTCACTGGAATAGTGGGACCAGACCAGCTCCTTCACTTTAGGATTATATCTTCTTGCTGTACTATCACTTCTGTTTCCTGCCTCTGTGCCAGGCATCACCTTGCAGCTCCCCTAACCACTTTGGGAACTGGCCCTTTGCCAAAATCATAGTCGCGTTCATTTTAACAGCCAGAAACCTGGGAGTGCTTTCTAGGAAAGCCTTTTAGCTGTGACTGAAGTGTCATGAAAAAGTATATTTTAAGGACGGTTAAAATCATTTCAGTGGCCCAGCAGACACTTTATGCAGTCAACTGTATGGCTGACTGCAGAAGGAGGATTAGAAGGGCCTTTCCCGACCCTTCAATGGACAAGTAAGAAAACAAAGAGTCAGAGAAATAAAATGATTTGCTCAAGATTACGTAGCTATTAGTGGCAGCACTGAAACAGAAAATTAACATTCTGGTCAGAGCCTAAGATAAAGGCCAGCAAGTGGAATTTCAGCTATGTCCACCCAAGAGGCAGGAACCAGAAAGACTGGAGGACTGAGTTTTATTTTGTATGGCCATGCGTTGTGATGTATTGCAGGCTGGGCGTTTCAGAAACAAATGCTGATAGGAGTTATTAGGAATCAATACTGGTGAAAAGAAAGGAGAGCAAGCAGAATTGGCCAGAGGAAGCATTCAAATTGTGATACAGGTCTGACAAGCCTTGGTGAACTTGACGCGCGGCTCAGAGAAAGCATCTCTCTTTAGAGTGGCCCACTTCAGGCAGAACTGCCTCACACTTTATATCTTGCCCCACTCAGTCATCTGATACAGTCTGCCCCAGAAAGGGCATGATCGTGGGCAAGAGGCCTCTCTGCAGCTAGAGCTGACAGCTGGACTGCACTCTGTCTGGGTGGCACATGTCCATGGCTACGAGGATGTGAATGTGTGCCTCTGTGGCCACATGGCCTCTTGTCACTGAATTGGCTTCATTCTTCTTTCTTTGAAGGCGCATTGTCTCTCTTCTCCATGTAACTTGCTAAAAAATACAGCCACTCCACAACTCCAAGACTTGTATATCCTCAGTGCATAAAATCATGGAGACTCTTGTCTAATTACAAATATCTGGGGGAAAAAATCTGATTGGATCAGCCAATTAAGGGAGGTAGGGGAAAGCACTGGGTTTAAATCTCCTTTGCCAGTAGCTATGTGACCATTCCAAGTCTCAGTGAATATATTTATGAAATAGAGATATTTATACTTATTTCACAGAGCTATTTTGAGAATTAAATGAGAAAATGTATGTGCAAGAGCTTTGTAAACAGTAAAGCATTCTACAAATATGAGTATTATTTTCTTCATCCTACTATTAATTTTGGAAGTCCTACTGATGATAGCTTTGTTTAATTGTTTTCTCTTTCAGATCACGGAGGACAAAGTTGAGGTAATCAAATCCCTGGTTCTTGGCATATTTTTCTCATGTGTGACAACCCTCTCCTTAATATTGTCACTATTTGTACATCCCTACTGTCATTACCCTGCCCCTCACTCTTATACATTTGATATGGCTCCCTATATATACATATGTCTTTGTGAAATACATAGTATTGTTTTATCATATGCATCTTTTTAACACTTCTCTGAAGTATAATTCACATGAAATAAAATACACCTATTATAAACATACAATTCAATAATTTTAGTTTTAAATTTTATAGTTGTGCAACCATCACCCAAGTCCAGTTTTAGAGCATTTCCATGTACCCCCCCCAACCCCAAATTTCCTTTTTCCAATTTGCAGTGAATCCCTGTTCCCTTATCCAGCCCCAGGCAACCATTGTTGTACTTTCCCTCCCCATAGATTTGCCCTTCCTGGAAATTTCATATGAAATAATACAACATGTGGTCTTTTGAGCCTGGCCTCTTTCATTTTGCATAAAGTTTTTGAGATCCATCCATGTTGTAGCAGGTATCAGTATTTTATTCCTTTTTTAAAAATGTTTTACTTATTTTTGAGAGAGCACAAGTGGAGAAGGGCAAAGAGAGAGAGAGGGACAGAGGATCTGAAGTGGGCTCTGCACTGACAGCAGCAAGCCTGATGTGGGGCTTGAACTCACAATCCATGAGATCATGACCTGAGCCAAAGTCAGACGCTCAACTGACTGAGCCACTCAGGTGCCCCAGTAGTTTATTCCTTTTTATTGCTGAATAATATTCCATTGTATGGCTATATCACATTTTGTTCATTCATCAATTGATGAGCATTTGGATTGTTTCTAGGTTTGGTATAATGAAAAAAATTGTTTCCACATTCCCATACATGTGTGTGTGTATACACACACACACACACACACACACACACACACATACAGTCTCATTTCTCTTGAGTAGATACCTGGGAGTGGAATTTCTAGGCCATATGGCAAGTTTATGTTTAATTTTTTTAAGTTTATTTATTTATTTTTGAGAGCGAGAGGCAGAGAGAGAGGGAGACAGAGAATCCCAAACAGGTTCCACACTGTCAGTGCAGAGCCTGATGTGGGGATTGAGCTCATGAACCTTGAGATCATGGCCTGAGCCAAAATCAAGAGTTGGATGCTTAACCAACTGAGCCACCCAGGCTCCCTTATGTTTAATTTTTAAGAAATGGTCAAACTGTTTTCCAAAATAGCCATGCCATTTTACATTCCTACTGGCAATGTATGAGGGTTCCAGTTCCTCTCCATCCTTCCCGACACTTGGTGTTTCTTGTCGGTCTTTTTGATTATAGTTGTATAGTCGTATCTCACTATGAATTTAATTTGAATTTCTTTTATAACTAATGATGTTGAGCATTTTTTCATGTGCTTACTGGCCATTTGTCTGGATTAGTGAAATATTTATTTATTTATTTAAAAAAATTTTTTTTTTCAACGTTTATTTATTTTTGGGACAGAGAGAGACAGAGCATGAACGGGGGAGGAGCAGAGAGAGAGGGAGACACAGAATCGGAAACAGGCTCCAGGCTCTGAGCCATCAGCCCAGAGCCTGATGCGGGGCTCGAACTCACGGACCGCGAGATCGTGACCTGGCTGAAGTCGGACGCTTAACCGACTGTGCCACCCAGGCGCCCCTGAAATATTTATTTAAATCTTTTGCCTATTTTTAATTGAGTTATTTTTTATTGTCAAATTATAGTAGTTCTTCATATATTATGGATAAAAATCTTGGGTAGATAGCTACCAAGATATTCCTTAATGATATAAAACTTTCCCAAATTATCCAGGATTTGTCTGTGTTGCCGACAGCATACAGAAGTATATTGTGGTGCTCCTGAAACTAGGTTTGAAAAATGGCTGTGGTTACTCTTTCAGGCAATTGCTCTATTACTCTCTTTCCCACTTCACTCTGGGGAAAGCAAGCTATCATGTTCTGAATTGCCCTACCAGGAGGGCTCATGTAACAGTGAAGTGAAGTGTCCCTCCACACTTCATATGTTGAAACCCTAACTCCTAGTACCTCAAAGTGTGGCTATATTTGGAGATAAGTCCATTAGAAAGGTGATTGACTTAAACTGAGGCCATTCAGGTGGAACCTAATTCAGTATGACTGGTGTATATCTAGAAGGGGAAATTTGGACACAAAAAGATCAGGGATATATGCACACAGAGAAAAGACCATGTGAAGACACAGCAAGAAGGAGGTCATCTACAAAGACAGGCCTCAGAAGAATCCAAACCGCCAACACTTGATCCTGGACTGCCAGCCTGCAGTACTATTAGAAAATAAGTTTCTGGGGGCACCTGGGTGGCTCAGTTGGTTAAATGTCCAACTTCAACACAGGTCATGATCTCACAGTATTTGAGTTTGAGCTCAGTGTCAGGCTCTGTGCTGACAGCTCAGAGCCTGGAGCGTGTTTCAGATTCTGTGTCTCCCTCTCTCTGTCTCTGCCCCTCCCCCTCTTGTGCTCTGTCTCTGTCTCTCTCTTTCAAAAATAAACATTAAAAAAAAAAGTAAGTTTCCGTTATTTAAGCCATACAGTTTGTCCGATATTCTTACAGCAGCCCCAGCAACAACCAGCAAGGAACGGAGGCCTGCTAACAGCCATGTGAGTGAGCTCAGAAGCAGATTCTCTAGTTCTAGTCGAGTCTTGACATGGCTGTAGCTCTGGCCAACAGTTGCGCCGATTCCTCACATTCAGAAAATTGTGTGACATAATAAATATTTAATGTATTAAACTGCTAAGTTTCGGGGCAGTTGCTACACAGCAATAGATAATACCGAGTCCTTGTATGGTTTGCAAATGTATTCTGCCAGTATATGGCTTGTTTTTAATTTTCCTAATTTTGTCTTTTAAAAGAGCATAAGTTTTACACTTTAATGAAGTCTAGTTTATCAGTTCTTTAAATGAATTCTGCTTTTGGTGTCATACTAATAAATTTTTGGCTTGCCCAACATCCCAAAGATTTTCTCCTATATTTTTAAAAAGCTTTATAGTTTTAGCCCTTACCTTTAGATTTATAATCCATTTTGAGTTTTTTTATAGTGCAAATTAATTGATTTATTTTTCACAATTCTCTTCTGATCCAAGCACCATTTGTTGGAAAGGCCATCCTTCCCTTTTGAATTGCCTTGATATTTTGTCAAAAATAGGTGGCCACAAATGTAAGGATTTATTTCTGGACTTTCTATTCTGTTTCATTGATGTGTATGCCTATCTTTGTACCAATACCACAAACTTCCTTGACTACTGCAATTTTTTGTTTAGTTTTAAAACTGGGTAATTAAGTCCTCCTACATTGGTTCTTTTTCAATATTGTGTTGGTAAGGATTGTATAAGAGATAGAAGTGTTGAATTGCCATGTTGTACACCTGAAACTAATGTAACATTGTGTGCCCACTATACTCAAAATATATATTTAAAAAAAATTTTTTTTAAACGTTTTTTATTTATTTTTGAGACAGAGAGAGACAGAGCATGAACGGGGGAGGGGCAGAGAGAGAGGGAGACACAGAATCGGAAGCAGGCTCCAGGCTCTGAGCCATCAGCCCAGAGCCCGTCGCGGGGCTCGAACTCACGGACCGCGAGATCGTGACCTGGCTGAAGTCGGACGCTTAACCGACTGAGCCACCCAGGCTCCCCAAAATATATATTTTTTAAATGTGTCGGCTATTCTTGGTATTTCGCATGTCCATATAAATGTCAGGATGAGTTTATCAATTTCTACATAAGAATTTGCTGGAATTTTGACAGGGATTGGGTGGAATATGTAGATCAGTTGGAGACGATTAGCATTTTAACAATGGTGTGTCTTACAGTCCATGAAAATGGAATGTCACTCATTCATTTAATGTCACTTAACAATATCATTGTCAGATTGTCTTTTAATTTTTTTAAGACAAGCTGATATTTTATTTAGGAGATCTCATATATGTTTATGACAGATGTTTGTCTGTAGCTCTCTCTTCTTGTAATGTTGTCAGGTTTTGTTATCAGGGTTCTTTATGCTTTCTGGGAGAATTCCCTAACTAATTTCTACCTTGCTGATTTGTTATTTGATCGTATCCAATCTTAGTCCATCCACTAAGTTCATTTCAATCACCGTATTTTTCACAAATATGTATAAAATGTATACAGCAGTTTATCCAGCTTATTATTGCTTCATATTGCTAATATTCTCCCTTATCTCTTTGGACATTACTCATTCAAATTTCTTACTTAAAAAAAATCCATTAATTCTGCTCTGCTAGTACAAATTGTCCAGTTTTCTAAGAAATTTTGGATTATACTCCTCAGATACATTAATATTTTCCCCTGTGATCTCATATTCATGTGGGAATATCTGCAACTTCAACTGTAATTCATACTTGAAAGGGAGGCTCAAAATCCTGAGACTTGGATTATGATCCTGATTTTTTTTCCAGGTGGTGGGTAAGGAGGAGAGTGGGTAGAAAGCTTCTGGTGTTATAGCCAGGGCTCCATTAGAAAGAATCTGTTCATCCATGAGGAGAATATGCCCCTCAGGCCATCTCCCAGTATGCCTGCATTTGCCATTGCTCTCAAGAGCTACTGTGTTCTGTGGTATTACCCAGAATCCGGGGTAGAAGGAAGAGAACCTGTTGCAACCCAACCTGTACGTATAGTTATCAGCTTCCCTGATGTTATGCCACCTCCATTGGCAGGTGTTCAGCTGGCCTTGCTGTGTTATGCCCATCTCAAGTTGGGGTGGGCTGTGATCCACCTAGGGTAATGTGGGTAGACAAGAGCATACCCAGAGACACTATTCCTCTATTCTACCCCTGTTCCATCTCCATTAGTGTCCATCTATGACTCTAGGCCTTTCTTTCCCCACTGCAATGGGCCCCAACTCACTTCCCTCTTCTACAGGTTTCTCAGACTCTCTGAGGAGGCTCCAAGATTCATTAGCACCCTCTCACTTATATAACATCTTCAGGATTAGACTT